GCTGGAGGTGGCAGTCAGTCTGTGTTGCTCTCTCCCTCTTCTTCTTTCTCTCTTCCTCGCTGTTATAGACCTGAATCTCCCATGGCAGTGTCCTTTTATTTTTATTTTCTTTAAACCTCTTTTTTCTTTCTTTTATTTCAATATGAGTGCCTAATACAGTTATCTTCATGCAGCCAGCATAATATCATCTTGTTACCAATATTTGCACTTTCCTTTCAAATTTCTCCAGGCTGTAGAACTCGTTCTCCTTCTTTAGCCATCGTTCACCTTCACCAGCCATCAATCTTGCTTTGATCTTGAAGCAAGGGGTATTAAGAACTAGTCTTCAGTGTCATGGCCATAATTATGCTGGTCAAGAGGATGATAAAGGTTCATTTTGCAAGCATGTGACAAACCTAATTCTTGTCTACATTCTTTAGGATAAATGTAATTTTCCTGAAATATGGAATAGTTACCAAATTACTTTTATGAGAGAGACAGATATTAAGACTTGGAATCAAATTTTGCCCTTTCCTTCTCCTTTGTCAGGTGTATATATACATATATATATATATATATAGGTATGTACACTTTTGTATTCAGGTGTTTTGTTCCCATCTAGGTCCTTCCAAAAAAGGCTTAGATTTACAAAAGTGATGCAGAGTGTTGTCTTGTAGTATCTAGGGTCAGATTATCAGAACATCTTAAGACTCAATTTTCTGTGGCAGTTCTGAAAGATCTAGCCCTGTTTCAGATATTCAGATGGGAGCTGACCCAGTCATAGAGTATTTCTAGCAAGGTATTATTAAACATGACCTGGTTTTCAAAACATTTTGACCTTCCAATGCCAAATGTCTGAACATGTTAGCTGGTAACCGATGAAAATGACTGCAACAGAACCTCATTTACAAGTTTATTTGAGAGCTGCTCAGGTATCCTGATGTGAAATTCCCTCATCTGCTGGCAGCAAAACACACTGACATGAAATGGGACTGTTTCTTCTGCAGTTTTGTTTTGTTTTTATTTTCATTTCCAAAAAGACACCAGACTTTTGAGAAAAAATTATCGGGTACATTAACAGATAGGATGCAGAGTTACTTTTGTGAACATGCATGTGCGTGGGTGTGTGTGTTTATGTTCATATGAATTGCATGACTGAATTGACAACTATGCTAATGCACATTAAAAGTCAGCTAAATGTGTATTTTCCACTCTAAAACTCCCAGTTTTGGCAGATTGTAATTTTTACAACTTTGACACCAGCTTCAGGGCCACTAGCAGTGACACCCGTGACAGTTTTGCCCTTGCTCCCTCACCTGGGAGCCATTACATCCAAGTTCTGTCAAAAGCCCTCATGTTGCGAGCTGTAAAGAGATGGTGACAACAGGCCTATAGGAAAGCCCATGGGGCCACTAATCATCTTGAGTTAGGATTGGGACTAATAGGACACTCGAGAGGTGATGCAGGAGGACACATGCTGAATGATGAAGCTAAAAGAGGGAAGCACTGAACAGAGCTGCCCATTCATTGAACACTGTCTGTCCTGTTTGCTGAATGGAGTGCCCAGCATAAAAATAGCAGAGGTCACATCGTTCGATTGCAGTCAAAATGGATGGAGCAGGACTTCCATCATGACACACTCAACATATAATGGTTTGGTTCAGTAACCTTAATAAGTGTCTTTCGAGAAAAGAGATTGTGGAGGGGAAATGTGTACTTTTTTAACATAATAATAAAGATGCCACCAAAAGGAGATGTTCCTCCTTTGAAAGCAAACCAGAGCAAAAAACAGTCAGGATGATGAAAGTTTAGCTATATTGCTAAGCCTTTTTTTTTCTCTTTATTTCTGATGCACCATAAACTGAAATGACTGGCATGTTTCTGGTAGGTAAAGACATTTTACTGAGTGCTTTACACTGCTTGCTCCCAGCTGTGCTTTAAGGCTGGCTAAGAGGCATGTCTGCTAACAGCAATAAATGGCAGCCTGCAATCAGACTGTTGGCTCCTTTGGGGGCAGGAGGAGCACAGGGAGCACTGGCCAGGCCTGCAGGCAAGCAGAGCAGTGCATGCACTAGGAGTCCTCACAGGGAGCATTATCAATCCAGGCTTCACCGCTCCTGCAGGGACGATGGCGCCTCCAGGTCATGTAGCAGCCGTCTCCAGTCTTGCCCTGTTTTCCCCCTTCTCCATCCTTCACTCTGCAGAAAGATTAATCTGGGGGGGATAAGCACAGAGCAGGGAGGCTTTCGACTTCAAACAAGTCCTGGTGCCTTATAGGAGATAAGGGAGGCTATCCAAATTCCCTTCAACAAGTCTGCCCAGTGTGTCATCATCATCATCATTATTATTGGCATCAGCATTATTATTAGCATTTATGCTTTCAGTTATCAATAACATTTATTAACTGCTATTTAACATATATTCAGTCTGGATTCCTAACTTTCTCATACTCTCTGGGGGTATTTATTTGCAAATGATGTTCCTATATCCTATGATATTCCTAATATTTTTATGTCCCATTAACTGCTTTTGATGTAATGAACTATTTCTGTCATACTAGCATAGCTGTGTGACCCTGTGGCAGTCATGGAGCTCATCCAGGTTTGCCTGAAAGATCTATATGTAAAATCTATGTTCTGTTTTCTTTTTCCCTATTTCATGCAAAATTTTCATGCCCCCTTTCCCCGTTCGACTCCCAGCAAATCAGCCCCATTCAGGCAACTGCAATGTCAACAAGCTCACATACATTTGAGGCCAAAAAACAACCAAAGATCAACCCTTGATCTCATTTTTTTCCTGTAGCAAATGTGGTTCTGTTCTTTATCACAGTGTGAGCTGTGGATGTGCCTTAGCTTTGAATTTCAGGAACATTTTGGGCAGACAAATTACTAACATGTTGTTGTCTAACCTCTGGCACATGGTTTTGAAATGCTTAGCCATGATTTCCTGAGCAGGTTTGATTTAATGTGATGGAGTTCAAAAACTGAAAGAGTTATCCTGAGGGAAAAAAAAAAAAAAGATGTTCTGCAGAAATGCCATTATCAGAGTTTGAGGTATGGTAGGTAAAGACAGAATAAACTCTTCTCTTTAAGCCTTTTGGTTATTCTACAAAGGGAGGCAGGGAGATGCAAGCAAGTTATACCCAGGCTGCCTAGTCACACAGTAAACCAGGGAGTTACAAATGGCAACATATTAGAGATTGAAACTTTTGGTAGTTAAAGACAATTTCATTTTGATTTACAAAAATATCTTGTAGACTCATGTGCATTACTGAATTACCTTTCCACTCTCTGAAAACTATTACTTCTTTGCCCATAGGTAACTAATGATAGTCAACAATAGAAATATAAAATGTTGTTGTTCTGTAAGTTATTCTCTTAGCTCACTTTTACATGATCATGAAAGTCTATTCTGAAAGAGTTGGGTTTTGACTTTTGAAAGTAGCACAGATACTTTTCATTCATTTTGAGCTTCAGTCAGTGAGTGTCTTCTGTGATCATATGTTTACAACATGTAAATACCTATATCTAGCCTGTAATGACATAAAAATGGC